AACAAGTATCCTCTTCCGAGAATTGATGATCTTTTCGATCAATTTCAGGGTGCTTCTTGTTTTTCTAAGATATACCTCAGATCTGGGTACCATCAGTTGAAAGTAAGGGAATTTGATATTCCCAAGACAGTATTCAGGACCCGTTATGGTCATTATGAGTTTGGTGTCATGTTCTTTGGTTTGACCAATGCACCTGCAGCGTTCATGGACCTTATGAATAGAAGTTTTCAAGCCTTATTTAGATATATTTGTTATCGTATTCATTGATGACATACTAATCTATTCGAGGAATCAGGAATATCATGCTAGCCATCTCAGAATAGTTCTTCAGACTCTAAAAGATAGAGAGTTGTATGCCAAGTATGTTTTGGCTTGAGTCTGTGGCATTCTTAGGCAACATTGTGTCTAGAGAGGTAATTAAAGTTCATACTTAGAAAAATTGAGGCAGTGCAGAATTGGCCTAGACCCACATCTCTAACTGATATTAGGAGTTTCTTGGGTTTGGCTGGTTATTATAGATGGTTTGTAGAGGGATTCTCGTCTATTTCGTCTCCTTTGACCAAGTAAACTCAGAAAACAGTGAAGTTTCAATGGTCTGAAGCTTGTGAGAGAAGCTTTCAGGAATTGAAAAAGAGGTTGACTGTACTGCCCCAGTTTTGACCTTACCAGAAGGTACTCAAGGTTTTGTGGTGTATTCTGATGCATCTAGAGTTGGTTTGGGTTGTGTGTTAATGCAGAATGGAAAAGTTATAGCTTATGTATCCAGACAGTTGAAAGTTCATGAGAAGAACTACCCAACTCATGACTTAGAATTGGCTGTTGTAGTATTTGCTTTGCAGATATGACGTCATTATTTGTATGGTGTTCGTGTTGATGTATTCACTGATCACAAGAGTCTTCAGTATGTGTTTACTCAGAAAGAGCTTAATCTCAGACAAAGGAGGTGGTTAGAATTACTCAAGGATTATGACATGAGTATTCTTTACCACCCAGGTAAGGCTAATGTTGTTGTTGATGCTTTAAGCAGGTTGTCTATGGGTAGTACCCCCATGTTGATGAAGAAAAGAGAGTTATCGAGAGACGTGCATAGACTTGCACGCTTAGAAGTTCGACTAATGGTTTCCACAGAAGGAGGAGTAGTGGTGATGAATGGGGCTGAATCATCATTAGTGTTAGAAGTAAAAGAGAAGCAGTAGACCAAGACCCAATTTTTCTTGAATTCAAGGTAAATGTTCATAAGCAAAAAGTATTGGCTTTTGAACAAGGGGGAGATGACGTATTGAGGTATCAAGGTAGATTATGTGATTGATTCCAAGGGTAATTAGGATGATCACCTACCTCTTATTGAGTTTGCTTACAACAATAGTTACCACTCTAGCATCCAAATGGCTCTTTATGAATCTCTTTATGGGAGAAGATGCAGATCTCATATTGGATGGTTTTGAAGTTGGTGAAGCAAGGTTGAAAGGACCAAATTTAGTTCATCAAGCTATGGAGAAGGTGAAAGTGATTCAAGAGAGGTTGAAAACGGCGCAGAGTCGTCAGAAATCCTAGACTTATGTTAGGAGAAATGAGTTAGAGTTTGAAGTAGATGATTG